GGCCTCCTCACGTCGCTCACGCGCGGAGGTGGCGGCTTCCGTCCAGGCTTTCGGGGGCGTGCCCGGGACGTCGGAGGGGCCCGACCTGGGAGGACTCGGGTTTGGGTTTGGCTACAGGTTATTAGCAGCTCTTGGGAGATTTTCTTCCCGAGCTTTCCAAGCTGCAAGAAGTGCAGAGCGGCCTGACTTTGGGATCGGTGTTTCCCCCCCGCAGGCAAACCTGTTCTCTTGCACATTCGCTGCTTTTCGGCTGCATAAAAGGCATAGTGAGGGTGGAGAGAGGTTAAATATTTTGGTGATAAGTTTTTTTTGTGTACTATATTAGGACTAAGCGTAAAGCCTTAGTTCCCTGGTTGTTAGTATGAGTGCTCCAGCCATTTTGCGGAGCCAGTTGTCCTCCCGTTAGATATGCTCCTTCCACATTATTTGGAGACTTATAGCAATCTTGAGTTAGTTTTATCTGTAGGTTTATGGCGTTGTCCTGCCAAAATTGGCTAGAGTGACTTATGTTGACTTTTTTTTTTTTTTTTAGAAAAAATCTGTATAGTCATAAAAAGTAGCATCCCCTTAAACCTTAACGCTTGTTTCTGGATCAGCCCCTCTGAGCGTGTTAGCGCAGTTCTATTTATAGTGTGTTGCTTTGAATTGGATTTATGGACTGTTTCCACTGATGGCAATACTTAGTGAGTACACTTTCACTCAACGAACATTTATTATACACCAGTATGGGCCAGCCACTGTTTTGGCATAAAGGCAGCATATTTCCAATTTGTTAGACCCAGTTTGCTTTTCATATTTCTCAAATGTGTATTGCCAATAATAAGGCAAGTTGAATAATTTTTTAATCCAGTAGCTATGAGTATGTTCTTGGAAAGATGTCGTGCATATAATTGGATTCACTTGTGTAGGGTAATTAAATCTTAATGACAACACTTGAAAGTTAGACCACAGACATAGGTCCACTTTTTAATTTGGGTATAGCATTGACAGGCCTGTTGACTTTAATTGCTTCATCTGTAAAGGGAGGGGATTGTACTGTACTTTATGATCTCCAAGTTCCTTCTCAAATCCTAACGTCTTTATTCGTCCTTATTGAGGATTCATGTCAAGTTTTGTTAAAAGTATAGAATTTATATTTAAAATAAATATTAGCTTAATTGTGCTAATTTCCCAGCTTGGATTAGAATCATCTACTTTATTTTTATTAAAAGGTGTTTATTTAGGTTTTTCTGTTTAGCTTGCTCTTTAAGAATAGGAGTGGAGCGTTTTTGTACTATATAAATACAGGTTAGGAGCTTCCCTTTCCTCCCAACAGAGTATAGCATGTACTATGGATTATTTTGTATCACTAGTAGGTAGACTCTAGGATAGGTGCTCAGGCTTGTAAAATTCCCTTCTTTTGAATTTCGTTTTTTTTTGTTTCTGTGTGTTGGCATAAGTGGTTTCTGTGAAACACGCTTTATCTTTTTAGAGAAGCAGTAGAATAAGGAAGAATGGTAAAGGACATCTGGATTAGATCTTCAGAAAATATGAGAAAATATTCAGGTGTAAAAAATTCACTTACCCTAAGGTCAAACGGCTTTTTATACATGTAGATGAGGATAAGTATTCTTAAAACGTTCTGCCACTTCTATATTAAATAAATTCAATTTTAAAGAATATCCAAGGAATCTTCTATATGTTAAGCATTATAGAAGTACAAAGTAGATTGAGCTGGTAATCTTATTAATTAAAGGTACCTAATTCTTTATAAATTAATTGTGCATATCTAGCCTGTAATTTTTAAAACATCCTCATAAAATACTAGATTTATTTCTTGCCCTGATAGAATTCTATACATTGCAACTTGTGACATTTATTTACTTTAACAATAACTACATAGGGAAAGAACAGTTTCTTTTATATGAGTTGTTTACCTGGGCTACTTCACTTACAAGTATACTTTGGATTAAGCCCAGTATATTTTAAAGGAAACAAGAAAACCTTTCACAGTATTTAAATTAAGGCAAGGATTTTCTTAATATGGGAGCCTTTGTGGTGTTTTACTGATTATTAAAATTGTATATATTCAAACATATTTATTAGGATATCAAAAAGATTTTTTAATAGCCTGAGACCTGTATTGTTAAATAGTAAAATTTGAAATAGACCAGTACTAGACGTTGGGTCTGGGTGACACACTCACGTGCATAACTCGTGTTTTCTTTAAGTCACCCTTTGGTCTTACGCATTTGCCAGAGTTAATATTCAGAGTTTGTGAAGTCATTGGTTAGGTTAATTGAGTTACAGAGGCATATCATGGCAGACTGCAAAAAAGGATGTAAGTATGATTTAGTTTTAGCTGCACCTCTAATATATGTCTGTTTATAAAGATATAACAATATGAAATGCATTTTTAAATACTTTGACAGAATTACAAATTGTCATAATTATTGTATCAGCTATATAAGTCTACCAAGAGGTCATCTTCTCTCCTATTTTTAGAGGGGGAAGTATTTCAAATGGAAGCAATAAACATTCAGTTTTCTTTTTTCCAACTCAAGGTCTCACTCACATTGTGGCCCAGGCTGGCCTCAAACTTGCAGTGATCCTCTAACTCAGCCTCTCACATGCTGGGATTATAGGTGTGGGCCACCATAGCCAGCACACTGAGAGTTAAGTGGATAAATTTTTTTTTTTTTTTTAGTTCTTAGAGAGCTTGATATAGTTATTACTGCAGATTATCTAAGAATCTTTCTTATGATATTGTAGAATTCATTTTTTTAAATCATTTATTCAATGAGAAACTTCCATGCTCTTATGATGATTTTCATTTTCACTTGCTTCACTGTAAGAACAGGGAAGCAGTAGAGAATACGTATAAGAGTAATAAATGTGGTTTTTATTTCCACGATAATGTCTTTTTTCACCTCCCTACTATTCCCATTTCCTTGATGTCTGTTATCTCTCAAGATTTTCCTTTGTCTTAGTCCATTTGGGCGGCTGTAATAAAATACCATTTTAAAATAAAATGAAACAGCATAAATCGGTTGCTTATAAACTACAGACATTTATTTCTGACAGTCCTGGTGCCCAAGAAGTCCAACATTAAGACACTAGCAGACTCCTGTCTGGTAAAGGCCTGCTTCCTATTCAGAGACTGCCTCTCACTGTGTCCTCTTATGCTTAAGGGCTTTTTTTTTTGAGACAGTTGAGACTGACCTGAAACTCACTATGTAGCCCAGGCTGGTCTCAAACTCACAGGGATCCTCCTGCCTCAGCCTCCCGAGTGCAGGGATTACAGGCATGTGCCACCACACCCAGCTTTTTGTTTGTTTGTTTTAAATAAGGACACTAATCCCAGATGTTAAGGCTCTGCCTTTATTAATTAGTTAAGTACCTACTCTTAATATCACTCTAAGATGATAATATTAATTTGGAAGGACACATTTAGATATCCTCTTTTTTTTCTTTTCTTTTCTTTTCTATTTTTGCAACAGGGGTTGAACGCAGGACCTCATGCTTTCCAGGCAGGTGCTGTGCCGCTGAGCTATATCTACATCCTGACCCCTTTTTTCCCCCTTCTAAAAATTTCATTTTCCTAATAAGTTGGAAAACAATGATTATTCTTATATTCTCAAGAAACTATTTCTTATAAACTGATTAGTGTAGCATAGTGGGTGGGGTCGAGGACTTCTGAGAACTCCCAAGACTCTGGTGGTCCAAGATATTAAAATTATTTTCATAAGAATAGTAAGATTGTGCCTTTTCATCACAAATTCATTGACATTTGTGATAGTGTAAAAGTGATGCTGTGTAAAGGCAGCTACATGGAACTGAATTAATTATCATTGTAATCTTCATCTCAAGGCACTTTAAATTTGGGGCGGGTACAGGGGATTGAATTTAGGACCAGTGCTTTCGAGGCAGGTGGTGAAACCACTGAGCGAAATCCCCACCCACTTGGAATTTTTTAAAAAGACTTTCACTTAACTTTTGTGAAGGGGTCAAAAATAGTAATTTTATTAACTTTTAACAGAAGTATACATCTTAACCTATGGTACCAAATTGAGAAATGGGTAGAAAGCACTTCTACATACCAACTTGTGGTTCTGCAGTTGTTTAAATTTGCTCGCCTTTTTCCTGGTGAGCTATTCTTTCTTAAACTACTAATAGACTAGACTGAGAAACATTTTTCTCAAAAACCACTCTTGGGCTAGGGCTTTAGCTCAGTGTTTCCGGTGCCTGCTTTGCAAATGCAAGGACCTGAGTTGGATCCGCGGTACCAAAAAAAAAAACAACAACAAAAAAATAAAAAACCACTCTTACCTATTTCTTTTGGAATTTGCTTTCATCCTTGTTAAGTATGTTATTTTGCTTTTCCTAGATTTTTCAAATTCATATTATAAATTTTTATTATAGGTGAAGATTTAGTTATATTGTACCACTTCCATTTCCCTTTCTATCTTTTCTGATATACATACAGTTATAACACAATTTTTTTTAGTCATCATTTACCTTATTGTGACAATATATTGTTCATTGAACAGCTAAGTTATGTATTCTGCTGGACTTCTCTGTTTTGTTCATTTTTCTCCCCCTGGTAATAGTATTTGTTAGTGTTTAATTTTTTTCTTTTTTTTTTTTTT